AGATGCATTTGCTACAACAAACCCAGCACTGCCTAGGAGGGGAAATCTCAAGTTAATCTGTTAGCCGATGTGGTCAGGGGAATTCATTTTGATTAGTTGCCTGTGCTCAGAATGGGAGTAACCTGATTAAAGGCACACAGCAGTAGTGCTTCCATGGAAGTCCAGGGACACATGCACCAGCTTGGCAGTGCCAAAGCCATCTCATCAACTTTTTTGGTGTCTGACAGGACTTATATTGTTCATTTTTCCAAATAAAGCCTGGCTTTGACTTCGTGATCCCTGAAGTCAGGTGAGGAGGACCTGCAAATTCTTTTATCTATAAGCTGCATTTTATCTTTGGTGTATCCAGAGATGTACCGTGAAATGTTTACTTGCTGTTATAGTTCTCTTTGTGTCATTATTACTGAAATTTTAGCATGCAACTCATGTAACTCATTGCCGCTGGAATAGGTTTTATTGTGGCTCTCCCACCTGTAGTTTAACTACTTTTTTTTTTAAAGCAGAGGTTGGGTTTGAACCCGCCACCTCCAGTATATGGGGCCAGCACCCTACTCCTTTGAGAGTTTAGTAACTTTTAACAGTAGCATTTTCTTTTCTGACAGTAACCATATCTCTTGGTTGGGCTGTCATCAATAAGATGTTAATATCACTGGATTTAAGAAAAATCTGCCTAAGATATGTTTTGTTGTTTGATTTATTAGATTCTTGACCAGGGTACCATGATGTACCATGTTGGAAAGTACACAAGCTATGGTGCACACCTTAGGTCTCCTACTTGCAATTGTGTGACTTTGAGACCGTTACTTAGTATTTTGGTATATCCAGTTCTTAGTACTCAATGGACCAATGGACATGCAATCCTCTGGCATTGCTAATTTTCTTCCTCTTTGTGTTGTATGAATGTGGATAAATTTCCCGAGCTCTACTGGATCATAGAAACCTATTCAGGATTTTTGGATGAATGAGTTAATCCACTTTCGCCTGGTGAAATACTTGGTTGCTGATGGGTGGGGGGCTTTGGAGTATTCTCATTTCTACCATTAGTTCAGTTTACTTTCTCCAACCCAAGTGGGAGAAGCCGCAGCAAACAACCACATTATTAGTCACTGTTGCTGTCCGCCAAAATTTCAAACTAAAAATATGTATTTTAAACTACATGTTTGCTCGCCTTAAAGAGTTGGATTATAAACTGTTAGAAATCAGGGACCATTAAACAACCATTTTCATTTGCAGTGGATTCAGAATATAATCATCTTTCAGTTTGGAAAGGATGTGTCCATGAATGCCAAGTAAAGTGCCGTGCGGTTAGTGAATGCAAAGCCTTCTCCGCATTCTCCAGCCAGACCTAAATGGTTCTTCTTCTGAACTCAGAGCACTTTGCACCTGTAGCTGGGGGTGAGGGGGCGCTGATTTGAGCCTAAGGATTCCCTCAGTGGGCTTTAGGTATATCTGGCCTTCTAGAATCTGTTTTCAGAGGAGACTATGGAACTTCCTGGGAGACTGCTCATCCTGGGGAAGGAAGGGAGTAGCCAGGAAGGGAGGAGTGATTCCAAGTATTGTGTGGAATTTATTTTCTTGGCCGTCCATGACCTACAGACCAGGCAAGGAGCAGGACATTGGCAGGGAAGAAGTATGAGATGGTTGCAGGTAGACAGGGACTATTGGTAAAAAGTGGAAATGGCTGTTTTACTTTCAAACTCTTTAGGAATTTAGAGCAAAAGTAGTGTGGCATTGGTACCATCTGGTGAAGGTACCATCTAAATCAGTGGTTCTCAACCTTCCTAATGCTGCAGCCCTTTAATATGGTTCTTGTGGGTCAGGACCCAAAGGTTGAGAACTGCTGTTCTAAATGAAGGCTGGATGGAGAAACTTTTTATTTTTTTCAGATTAATATGAGGGTGCATACAGTGAGGTTACCCTGTTTGCATTGGTTAGGTAAAGTCCAAGTTGCAGTTGAGTCCTTCACCCAGGAGATGTGCCGTATACCTGTACCTTGTACTGTCCGGTGGCAGCTTACATACTCTGCTCTGCCCTTCTTTATTTAATTGTGTCTTTCTCTTATGTGGGTCTGTAGTTGTTTATCGGCTAGTTTCAAATTAGTGCGAATACATGGGATGCTTGCCTGTCCATTCTTAAAATACTTTACTAAGGAGAATGTTTCCAGATCCATCCAGGTCAATACAAACGATGTGATGTCTCTGGATGTGGCAATGTTACCCACTTGTGCACAGAGTGCAGCTAACTTCCATACCTCGAGGCCACCAGCACACAGGCAGAGGGAGCACCCAGGACAGCTGAGGTGCCCAGCAAAAGTGGCAGCATCACTTAAGGAAATAGATCTTCAGCTGGCAGGGGGAGCAGGGAGGCCACTTCTCATAGCTTAGCAGGCGCTAAAGCATCACTCATCAATTGGTGCTGTGGGAGGTGGCCACTCTCGAAGGGACAGGGTCTATGCTGGGGAGTGTCACCTGTGGGCTCACCCGTAAATCTGCCCCAGGCCTTCCATACAGACCAGCAGGGATAACCCAGCCAGGGCTTTGGGGCTGGCATTGCAGATGACAGGCTGTCAAACGTGATCTTGGCTCTGTGGAAATGCCTCCTTCTCAGGGCATGGCCGTGTATGGTGGATCATTCAGCTCTCAGCTTTGGAAAGGCAGCTGTGCTGGTACGCAGGAAGATGGTGGTCTGGGGAAGGAGTCTTGGGAGAAGAGATAAGAAACTTGGTGAGGGAGAAAAAGTACCACATCATAGAACCATTTATACGCAAACCATTGGCTTCAGGAGAGTTTAGAGTAATCACCCTGTCAGTGTTTCTCAGCCTTCAGTAACATACGGGATGTTTTTAAAGAACATGGTCTCAACTCCATGTGATCATCTACATAACTAGAAACAAACGCACACAAAAAGTTCAAGTACAGAAAAGGTCTGGCATGTTAAATGGATGATATTAACTAATGGGCTAAATGATTTTGTGTGCTTATATGAAAATCACCATGCCAGGCAAAAATCTGGTGTAGATGGAACCTCGCAGGAATTTGGTTTTTAAAATGTTTTTCTTTTCAGATCAATATGAGGGTACACACAACCAGGTTGCTTTGTTTGCATGTGTCAGGTGGAGTCCAAGTTGCTGGTGTGCTTCTCCCCTGGACGTGTGCCGTACACCCTTCCACTGTGCCCTCCACCAACCTCCCCCTCCTCCTCTGTCCCCTCCTCCCCACTTGAGTTGAGTTTGTGTTTTTCTCTTGTGCGGGGATATTTTTTACACAGGAGTTTTTAAGTCCAGAAAGCTTGTGTGCTGAAGGCTGTACCAATTCTCCCACCATGTTTCTCTAGTTAAACTCTCCTCAACTTGCTTAAATGGGGAGCATTTGTTTCGTTGGTGCTGGCCAGGCAAGAAGTTGCAACCCCTGGAAAAATCTGCCTGTCCTTCTAGCACTTGAACATGCTTCAGGGGTAGATTGTGAGGAGAAACAAGCTGCCAGAGAGAGCCCAGCAGTGTTCTGTGCACAAATGGTTTGCTGATGGTTTCCAGCGGACCTGTGTGACTCCCTAACATTATGACGCCACAGCATGAATTTTCTGAAAATCTCTGAGACCTAAGAAAAAGTGTCTGCTCATAAAATCTTTCCACTTTGCCATGTGCACTGGGCTTGGGGACGAGGGGTGAGGGTGAGGGAGTTGCTCCTCTTTCCACTGTTCACGCAAAATTCACCCCCATGCTCTTAGTTAGAAGCGAGTACTGTCAGGTCCTTTGCTCTGCCTTGCAACATTCAGAATCTGCAAAGGATTTTCCCATCTGCTTTTCCTGTGTCCTGATGTCACACAGAACAGAGTATATTAGACCATGTCCATCCTCATAGCTTTCCCTTTTAAATGGCTGCACATTTGTCTGATTTTAGGGGTAGAACACCCTGTTTGGCTCCTGCTCCCTGCCTTTTCCTGGCGATAGATGAGAGTCTGTGTCAGAGGACGGCTCCAGGTGCCGGGGGCCAGGTGAGCAGCACCCTTGCTGTCTCCTATCTTGGCTTCATTTCTGAAGCTGCTGCAAGCCTTCAGGAACCACGGGCTTTGCCCCCCCATCTGAGACAGAGCTGTTCCTGGTCTCTCCCTCTCTCTTCTCATCTGCCTCAAAGCCTGGCCTGTCCTGACACCCCTGCCATTTCCAATCACAGCTCCCACCTCTGGCAGTTTCTTCCATTGTTCTCTGCCGGTCCTGTTCTCCATTGCTTTGCTTTGCTCCTTTTTATATTTTTGTCAATGTTTCTCATCTTAAGAAATAAGTTTAAGTTCACCACGGTCTTAGCCTGTTTGGGCTAATAAAATACCATAAACAGGGTGACTTATAATAATAGAAATTTATTGCTCACAGTTCCCGAGCTGGGAGGCCCAAGATCAAGGTGCTGGCAGGGTGGCCCTCTGGCGAGGACCTCCTTTCTGTTTTATAGGTGGCATCTTCTCACTGTGTCCGCATACAGGTGAGGAGAAGAACGCTAGTGTGTTCAGTTCTTTATAAGGTAGTGATCCTCTTCCTGAGGGCCCCACTCTCGTGACTTAATAATCCTTCCCCAAAGTCCCCACCTCTCAATACCATCTCACTGGGAGCTAGGTTTCGACATATGCATTTTGGGCAGACACAAACATTCCAGCTATCACCACCATCCCAGCAGAGTGTTTCTTTTTCTTTGTTCTCAGTAGCTGACAAACAAGACATGGCCTGTCAGGGATGCTGTGGGATCAGTCACCTCTTACTTAGAATAGTGCAAGAACAGGACAAACGGTCTCAGCGTGAAGACTGACTCTGGGCCCCTGTGGGCTCTGTGACAATGGTGCTGGAAGGTCCTGGTGTCCATATCTTCTCCCAGGGGAAACTGCATCTCCGTGCTCTGTTCAGTTTCAGACACAAAGTCACAGCAACTTCCCTGGAGCAGGAGGGGAGACCATGACAAAGGTCTCTTGGCTCTCAGCCTCCCTTCATTGCTGGTTTTTGTTATCATTGGCAGAACTCTCCTTCAGCAACTCCAGAAGCTCCAGACTTTGGTGATGGGCAAGGTTTCTCGCACCTGCAAGTTAGCTGGCACGCAGACGGGCACCTGCCTCATGGTGAGTTCCCGGAGGGACAGCACAGCCCCTGCCCCTGACCCGGTCCCCTGTCTCCAGTTTCTCTCGGCTTGTCAAAGCCACATTTGTTGTGCAGTTGGAGAAACAACACAGCTCATCCCAAGGAGGCTCCTCTGCGGCACCCTCGGGGGATGTGAGGTGTGGGCGCGGTCTGCTGGCCTGGCAGAGGGGAGTCTGTCCAGCAGGTCCACAGCTTTGCCCTGCGGAGCCCAGAGCCCACAGCTCCCCATGTGCTCTCCTCCCTTCCAGGTCGTCGTGCTGTGCTTTGCCGTGGCATTCGGCAGCTTCTTTCAAGGCTACAGCCCCTATCCTTCTGCCACCAAGATGGCCGTGGCCAGCCAGCACTCCACGCCGGAGCCGTACACAGCCTCCGTCGGTAAGACGGCGCTCAGCAGCTTGGGAAGGGTCTGGTTTTGTTTCTTTAGAGCTGGGTTTCTCAGCATTTCAAAAGAAATCTTACATGAAAATCCAATTTTTAAAAAGTGGTAAACATAGAGCTTCCCCTTTTCAAGGGAAGAAAGGCACAGGGAGGGTCCCGCTGCCTGACTGCTGGTCACCCCTGGGGCCCCTCACCCGCTGGGCTCGGACATCTCTGGGCATGCACTAGAGCTTGACAGCGCGAGCACAGTGTGTGGGCTGCTGCGCGAGACGCGTTCCCTGATACTCCCTGACATCCCCTTTTGTAGTTCTCTAATCAGGGGGAAGGAACTAGATGAGTGTGGTAGAGAGGATTAAGCTTTCCATGACATTTAAGAGAACCTTTGTGTTTTTGCCTTCACTGAGTAGAATTGCACATGAACACAGTTAAGAGTTTGTAAACTAAAATTAAAGAATTGGTTGGTCTTACAAAACATTATGCCCAAGACTTAAAGACTGGAGATTCAGGTGTTAGGTAACAAGTGTAAAATATTCTCACCTAGATTAATAATCTAAGTATGTAGGGAGCAAAGGAGGTGAGTAAGGAATCCATACACAAATACACACACGTGCTAGTAAGAATGAACACAGAGTATCTCAAGAATGGAAGAAAAAGTATCCAATGTACTCAGCCCTACTATGAAACTAATTTATAGCTTTCATAGGAAAGCTGTAACCCAATTTTAGCCCAAGAATATGGGGAGAGGGGAGAGGGAGGGGAGGGGAAGGGGAAGGATGGGTGGAAGGAGGGTGTTTGGTGGGACCACACCTATGGTTCATTTTATAAGGATACATGTGAATTTTTCTAAATGCAGAATATAAATGTCTTAACACAATAACTAAGAGGATGCCATGAAGGCTATGTTAACCAGTTTGATGAAAGTATTTCAAATTGTTTATAAAACGAGCACACTGTACCCCATGACTGCATTAGTGTACACAGCCATGATTTAATAAAAAAATATTTTAAAAAAGAATGAACATGGAGCTAGGGGGTGTGGCAGTCTCCTCCATCCAGGGATTTGTTTGCTAGGTTTCAGTTACCCGTGCAGCAAGGCCCAAACTGAGTACAGTACAGTAAGGAACACTAGAGAGTCCACTTTGAGATAAGTAATGTTATAGGGTATTATTAGAATTACCATCCATTTCTTAGTGTGCCTAATTCATAAACTAAATTTCATCATCGATATGGATGCTTAGAAAAAACAATAGTCTATACAGGGTGCCATCTGAGTTTTCACGCATCCACTGGGGGTTTTGGAACACAGTCCCCTGGATAAGGGGGACCACTGTACTGGATTTAGGAGAGGGACAATTTTGCCATTCGGAAATGCCTGTGGTCTTCTCCAGCAGGGATATCCCTGCCAGGTGTATGGCAGAAGTGCTGGCATTCTGATCAAATAATTTCAGTGACCTGTTGGGAAATTCTTTTTCCCCCAAGGGCATATATCTCTAAATTTAATTGGAAGGCAATGAGAGCATAGTTTCTATTCCATGGAAATTGCTACAAAGTCATCTAGCTATGTGACTATCCTATAAAAAAAAAAAAGAGAAAGAGAGCGAGCCAGAGAGAGGGACTGTCTCCATCCTTTGATTTATGGCTTTGGCTTTCTGTCCTCTCTCCAGCTTCTAAATGAAAATGCCCAGTACCTCATTTCCCTGCAAGACCTCCTCGCTGGGGATGCTTTCTTTTAGCTGGGTCCGGACATCTCCAAGTATTTGACTCCTGTCTGTGACTTGTTTCCCCTAGGGGTTTATAGGTGAGAAAGTAGGAGTGGGGAGTTTTATTTTCAAAGCAGTGGGGGTGGTAGTTTGCTTGGTGTTTATTTCCTTTTCTATTGTTCCTCTAGCACTGTATAATTGGTATAATTTTTCAATGTACAAACTCTGAAACCCCGAAGCCTTTTGAGAAAGCCAAATCCAGTTGGAACCTTCAGTTCTGGGCAACTAGAACACACAACCTGTCATCAGCCAGCAGCCCTGAGCATCTGGAGTGAGGGTGTGGTGGGCCCCTGTGGTCTTTGACTAGTGCCTTGCTGCTCTGCTCTGTTCTCAGTGAGATCCAGGAACCTGCTGATCTATGAGGAACACTCTTCCCCCGAGGAGCCGTCCAGCCCGACCACGTCTGCGGAGCTTGGGCACTGGGATAGAGGCACCTCCCTTCTCCGCGTGTCAGCGCTGGAGTCCGGGCCGGATGTGGATCTTTCCCATTTCATCATCTCGAATGAGACCAGCCTGGAGAAGTCAGTGCTTTTGGAGCTGCAACAGCACCTGTGAGTCCTATAGATAGAGATTCAACACCTTTAGTGAGTGCGCTGATGCTGGGGTAGGAGCAAACAACCTGGAACGTAGGGAACAGGCTCTCTCAGGATCTATTTCCGGGACCTGGTACTGAGGATAGCCTGTTGCAGGCCAACAGCTGCCCTGAGCAGAGACAGGGACGAGACCCAGCATGAGCTCCCCCATGCCTGCTGCACCAGTGGGAAGCTGGCAGTGGTGGCACCACGGAGTGGGGGAGGGGCTTCTCCTACCGTCTCCATCCTCCCCTCCAGCCACACCCGTGAGCATTCAGCCCAGGTAATAGCAGCGAGCTTGCTATGCAAATGCAGCTTCCGGACTGGTTCTCTGGCTTCCTTCCAGCTGGAGAGTAAATATGCATTATGCTGTATGTCAATGTATATCTGTGATTTATACGTAAATACACAGTACCGATTCTAACAGTATATACTTATAGACTTGAAGGTCACTGAGTGACACGTCCATGTTTCCATATTGAAAAGAACCTGCATTTGACTCCAGTTCTCCCTGAGTTGTTTCTCCTAGCTAGTTATGGGGAAATCCTTTTGTAAACATAAGGGCTTAGATGACTACACAGCTTCGTGATGGTGATGAGGGAGGCCCCTGGGTGTGCCAGCAGCACGAGGAGGAGGGTCTGTGTGCGTCTCCTGGTTGTGTGTGGTATAGTTGGGGACTCAGTCTGGTGCCCCACAGAAACGAGATTATACCCATGTAAGTGGGAATGATTTTGACTCAGCTTCTTCAGCTGTCTTCCCAGCCCTGTGGAAGGGTCCTAATTATAGACTTTGACATGAGTACATCACACATGCATATTTAATGTTTACTAGCACTTGCTATTTTGAGCACTTTACAGATGTGACTTAGGTTGAGTATCTTTTATCCAAAATACCTGGGACCGGAAGTGTTCAGATCTGGGATGTTTGGGGACTTTGAAATATTCACATTATACTTATCCGTTAAGCGCCTCTAATCCAAAAATCTAAAATGCTTCAATAAGCATTTCCTTTGATGGTCATATTGGCACTCAGAAAGTTTTGGATCCATTTCAGATTTCAGACTTTTAGATTAGAAATATGTAAATGGTATCACATAAATTCTTTTAATTGCCCCAAGTGTTGATTAATTTTATTCCCATTATAAAGAGAATCTGGAGCTGCTACTGGAAGCATTAAGACTGGGTTCCTTGGTCACTTGACTCAAGGTGCAAGTTTCTCTCCACTAAGCTTTTCAAGCCCCTCCAGATCCCAATTGTTCTGTGATGTCTCCCAGATAACAAAGCCTCCTAGCCCTCCTCTGAATGAATGGCTGGAGACTTTCTGGGTGGTTACAAAATTTAATAATGTATTTTTTATAGATTTATTGTTATTTCAAATTGTTAAAAATCTTTGTCTGGATTATTAACTCTTCTAGTCTGAGGCATTCTGTTATTTCCTCCTCCCCAGAGTGCAGCATTGGGCCAGACATCCTTAGTAAATACAGTTTAATGCAGTTTGTAAGAAATCAGTGTCAAGCCACCACGTTATCCTCGGGGTTGGGGGTGCCTACTCTTGGGTGGGGACAAAGGTAGGAATGTAGATGAAAAGATTGCCTAGCAGTGGGGACAAGAAACACGCCTGGGCCAGCCCACTAAGTTGCAGTCATCCAATGAGTGTGTCACACTACAAAGCATGAGAATTGTAGTCAACAGTTGGTGGCTAATACTTCTTTTTCCTTTCAATGCCTTCACAGGGTCAGCGCCAAACTGGAGGGGAACGAAACACTCAAAGTTGTAGAACTCGACAGAAGAGTGAACACCACCTTCTAAGGAGGCTCTCCTTCAGTCCTCTCCCCCACTTCCCTTCATTCTACCTTTATACCCTGAAATCACCTTTGTCATAAGCTTTTCCTCTTTGCCACTGGATCTTGATGAAGACATGGACGAGCATTAGTGGCTTCAGATGGGAGGCCAGCCTGGGATTTCCCCTGCAGTGAGAGAGCACCTTCCCCCCAGTCCACACCCCTCTGTGCAGAAGGGACCCCACATCCCTCCCTCCCTTGCTCTTACTGCCATAGGATATTATTTTAGGGGTGGGGTGGGACAAGCAGGCTTGTTTCCACCAGTAGTGCCAAAAAGATACTGCCTGATTCACACTTGTGAGGTGTGACCCCCCACTCTTTGAAGAAGAAATGACTCATTCAATCAAGACCCCAGATGCTAGCCACAAAAAATGCCACAATGCCTGTTGGGATTCGGCAAAGCACTGACTCACGTCCTCCCTTGCTCACGGCAGGGTCTCCGGTGGGAACGCGCCGATGGCAGCCCGCCGCCCACTCTGCCCCTCAGAGCCCTCGCTGGGTTGCCGGCTCTGGCAGGCGAGGGCTCCCCTCATCGTTCTCAGGCCGCAAGTGCAATGCCTGAAGGGATCAGGCTTCTCTACTCCAGGCAAATCTGCCCCATCTCGTTGCTTGTAGGACTTCCCATTACCCGGTCCCCACACACCCATAGTTCTGCCTCCCGGCTTCTCCTCCCCGTGTGTAAATAGTATTTATTAGCTTGCTGAGTATTCTTGCTAGACAGCCACACTGAAGAGATTCCAGGCCTCCCCTCAAGCGAGCAAGGTCTCTTCCTGGCCTTTGGAGTGAGGAGAGCACCCTAGGCTCTGGGATCCCCAATCTTTCCGGACAACATTTTGTTTCCTTTTTCCTCTTTTTTCTTTTTCCTCCTTTTTTTTTTTTTTTTTTTTTTATTGGAGGCTTCTAAAATCATTACTATTGAGAAATCCCACAGGGCACATGTCTGCCTCTAAGGATGAGCTCAGAGGGAAAGCAAGGGCCATGCCTTGCTTGGGTCTGTGGCTCTGTGGACAGACGCAGGGAAGGGAAGCCCTGTCCCTGACCACAGGCGTTTCAGAAAGCCTTGCTGGCTTGTCCTTCCACACCTGCCCGGCCCCTCCTCCCTCTGCACTCCCCTCTGTCCTCCTCCTCCCATCCTCCACCTCAACAAAGCGGGCTGGAGTAGGTGGCATTTGTGTACCCACATTCTTAGCTTTTAGAGTCATGTTTGGCTCCTTTGCAGCTCACCCAAAGAGATACAACCTAACTCCCAACCTACTTCTATTTTTGTTTTTTAATGATTAAAAGTAACTTTTGTAGTTTAAAACAATCTTTCCTCTTTCATACAAAGAAGAAATGGAAATCGCTTTTTTTTATTATATAATGTAGAAGACCCCCTTCCTTAAATATGTTTTCCTAGCTTGTAAAAGATTTTGTGTAGGAAATTTGCTTACATTTTGTATTTTATTTTTAGTATCAGCTGAAATGCCCTTAGCTTTAGCTTTTTCCTCTCTCTCTCTTACATATCGTCCACATTGTCATTGGAACCTACTTACAGGGATTAAGCCCACACCCAGTCATTCCATAGCAGATACAGGAATGGGCGTCATCCCCTTTGTCACCCTGCTTCATGAGTGGATCCCTGCTTGTCTGCCTGGCTGCATTAGGGCTCACTGTGATTCCTTGCTCTCCTGTGATGGAGAGGGCTCCAGACTGGGAGATGGCCAAGTTCATCTTCTTGTCCTGTATGAGAGCTGAATTGGGACCTCTGTGGTGCTGGTAGCTCTGCTGTCTGGATGGTTCTCAGTATCCCTTACCTTGGCCTGGCGGCTGAGACCTGGCTATGTAGGAGAAGTGTTCCCTAGCAGGCTCTTCTGCTTCACTCTGCTCCGCTCAGCTCTAGATCCTCCTGGGCCCAGCTGGTGTCTGCTAACCATGGCCACCACTGACCCTCTCTTGTAAAATGTCATGTCATTATCAGGCATAGGCAGCTTGTGGGGCCCAAAGAATGTGAAAAGATAGGAAAAACTCAAGTCCTGTTTGGGCAATGGGAGAGGAAAGGTTTCGTATTTAAGGGCAGAAGTGGGAGACTGGGCCAGCCCACGCACCTGCTGCAACTGAAGCAGATTGAATTAAGGCTTCTGGATTAGCTAGAGTAGAAGACTTGCTCTTCTGAATGAGGAAGGCAAAGGAAAAGGAAACTGCTAGCCCTTGTCCTTAGAGCTTTGAGGATTTTCTTTCCCCCCCCTGCTCTTCTCACCCTTGCTTGGCATCACTCTTTGCAGACCTCTGAGCAGCAGGGTTCTGAGAAACTGTCCTTCCAGAATAGAATCTGTATTAGAGGCATGGGGCATTAGCCGGGGAGTTCAAATGGCCCTTTAAAGGGAATTCCAAGAACTGCATGGCTGCTCTTTGAGAAAAACCTCTGCCCGCCACTCCTTGCTTAAATGAGTAAAGGGAACTAACAGTCATTCTTTAGGAGGACAAAATGAGGTCCAGAGGACACAGAAGGGTTGGAGGACACCAGATCGGTTCCAAATAATTAACTGATGTGTGCACAATTTCTGTTCAGAATTAAGCTCAGAATATTTGTTTTCTCCACTGAGCGGCCCCATAAACTAGTCATTAGTTATGTCAGCTAAGAAGATTTCAAATAGTGCCACACATTAATGTTGAATTTGTGTTTTGATAAATTATGACACTGTGAGAGCAACCATGACCCACAAAGAATAAACCTGCTAATTCTGTTTTTCATTCATGTAAACAAGGTTTCCTCTTCCCTTTCTTTGATTATTCTAGAAAAGGGTATGTCTTGTGAAGTTCGGAGAACAACTGATTTTTCACTGGATGAGATCTTCCTAACCCAGACTCCCCCGCCCCCCCAGCAAGGTTCTTTTCACAGCTCTTGACTTTGCACTTAAAAAGGGATATTGTAAATGAAAGGCCTCAGTGCCCATTTTAAGAAAGCATTTCTGTGAAGTGTTAGGACTCTGGAGTCTAACTCACATAAAGAGAGTGTTATATAAAAATCTGACAGGGAACTAGGTTGCTCCTTTATGGCAGCGGGTGGGGATGAGATTTGACACCAATATAGGGAAAATTAGATAACCTTTTGGTTAATATAAATGCTGGGTAGACCCAATTTATAGTTTGTGAAAGCAGCTTTTAGATTAGTGTATTTACAAACCAACCATAAGCATCATGTTTTTTATTTTTCTTTCTAAATCTCAGTTCAGCTCAGATGCCAAAAGGTAACTGTGAATCTTGTGTGTCTGTAAAGTGGGAGTGTGGAAATGATTCTTCCTTATTCTGGCAGCAAGTCAGTGTCTGGCATTTTTGTCATAAGTGTTTTATTAAAATTATTTTTCAGCATTGCATAGCCCCTCCCTTCTGTGCCTTTAGACCCAGCAAAATCAGAAAGGCAGAATGGGAGGCCTCTCTAGGCCAGCTCCTCTGAACACACATGTCATATGAGAACTGAATTTGAGTATGTCCCAGAAAGGGAGAAGTCCCACCACCAGTCAAGGAATGGCTCATCCTTGCTGGTCTTGCTAACACAGGGACACTGGAGATGGAAGAGAAGTCTTTCCACCTCCCCTTCGTCTGCCATGAGTCACTAATTTGGCTCTGTTGAGTCCAGTCATTGAGAAACCTGAGTTAAAAACACCAGCACTTCGGCACTGGGCTGGCAGGACCTGTGAGGCCACAGTGCCCTACTGAGAGTCATTTTATTTAGTCTCACTGGGAGGGCAGTTACAGGAGAGGGTAGGGGTGCCATGGAATGGGACTATGAGGATTCCAGAGAGAGGTTTTAGATTTTTCATTCATTCGTTCATTCACCCCTCTTAGGATTTTTCAGTAATAAGGAGTAATAACACCGAGGCCCCAGGGGACATTGAGGAATTGGAGAGATAGAGGGAACTTGATCAACAATAGGTATTCAAAAGACCAAAGTGCTAGTTAAGCATGTCTCTCTCTCTCTCTGTCTCTGTCGCAAACACACACATTCCTCCCTTGTCTTAGATACTCATTTGTGCCTTAAATGTGCCTTATATATGAATCCAGGATGACTGAGGAATCCCTTGTCCCTGGGAGATTTTACATATAGCCTTAGGTTATTAGGTTGCAATGGATGTGGTGGGGGGAGAGGAAGAGCTTTTTTCGAAGCCTCAAAAATGGTTTTCTAGAAGTGAGCCAAAATCAGATTTGCTCATCAGGAAAAAAGAAATAGGGCCATGTCCATTAGGAAAATCTCATTTTGTAGGGGTGCAATCACATCAAAAAATGACCAGCCAGGATTAAAGGTATTATAAATACAGCAGAACATTTTCTCAGTGCAAGAAACCTGGCCCATTTGAGGATTAATGTTCCATGCCTCTGTGGCCAAAGGGTCAGCACTTAACACAGGAAAAAAAAAACTAGGTGGTGGTTTGTTTTGTTATTTTTGGCAACATAAAATTCAGGAATGTTTTATTGTGTTGTGGTTTCTAGAAAGAAGGGAAATAGTGTTTCCTGAGCACTTACTAAGGTGTTGGGTGCTGTGCTACGTTTAAAGTTTTTCAATTTTAGAGATATAGAAAACCAGGGAGACAATTTATGATGAGACGGATAAAGAACTAAGTCGCATAGGAAGTACACCCATTCAGCATCGGGTTGAGCAGAGTCCTTTGTGAACACGCTGTAAACTTTTCAAGTTCTCTGGGCAGGAATCACAGCATCTGCCCCCTGCGTTGGTCCTGCTGTGCAGTGTTCTCTCTTCCCCTCATTCTGGGGTTATCCACCATATGTATCTCTCTAGTGTTTTTGATCCAGTCTTCTGGGAGTCCCAGCTGGCACATTTTACATCTGGGAGAAGGGAAACTGGGGGTTTTAGCTCGATTTCTCTGTTCCCATCCTTTGTTCACCAGCTGGGCGAGAACATTAACTTTTTGCACCATAGACTCACAGCCTACACGACTTAGAAAACCTCCCTGTTAGATAAAATGCTGTCTGCTATCTGAGTCCATGAAAAATGCCAGCACTCTGACGAACCCTAAGTGACCCTTGGTAAACAATGCTGAGCAGACCCTGGGCTGTAATCAACAGTGAGTTTCAAGTCAGTGCTGACAGCTGGGCTTTCCTCTCTTGAGTAACAGGTTGTATAGACCAGCAGTGTGTAATCTAAGTACACTGGGAGTCAATTGTCTGTCCTCTTGCCATGTTTTTTTTATGGCTTTTATTCTTTATCATAGCTAAGTAAATACAAAAAAAAAAAAAAAAAGGAAAAATGCTTTGTAGGATACGTGTACTTAGTTTGAAAAAAGAATTGAAATTGTATGCTTTTGTATTTCCATTTCTTGCAAATAAATATTTTTCTTAAATAGTAAAATGCTGCCCAGTCTTTAAAATCCTGATAGTAATCTGGTTTTAAAAGCAGTTTTTGTGTGTGTGTGAGCATGGGTTTGTGTATGTGTGCCTCGCTGCTCTTTCCTGGTTATCTAGTCAGACTGAAAGGAGAGCCTCCAGCCAGAAATTGCTACACTGTGTGGTCCTGGATCCAAGTCTCTGCTGGAGGATTATTGAGAAATGTAATTGCTTTTTCAGGCAGTCACAGGAAGAAAAACCACAGTCTCTAGAGATGTATGCAGCCTGACTACTATTTTCATTGTCTCCTCCAACTATCCCCTAACTAGATTTCAAGTCTACGGATTTGATTTTGCTTTTCCCATCTCTGGATGCTTGAGAAAGATCCTTTGGACTTGAGCCAGGGAGGAATGATCCTTGTTTATATGAACAGTTGCAGAGGATGTCTACACAGACGTGTGCTCCAGAAAGTCTGATGAGACGGTTGATAAAGGTCAATGCACTCAAGCAGAATA